GTACCAAAACTGAGGGTAAGTGTCCTTTTAACTTTTACAGTCAGTGGAAAAGGTAACTCTGTCTTTGACTCTCATAATAAAATTGAAGGCTAGTATTTTATACTTTTTTTTTTAGATTAAGTTGTTTCAAACTAGTTTATTTAGGGGTTCCATTTTCACTCCTCAATAGATTTTACGTATTTCTCATATGCTTCTTCACTCATTAGTTCATCTAGTTCTGAAGGGTTACTGAGTGTCATCTTGATCAGCCAACCATCTTCATAGCAAGATTTGTTGACAAGTCCTGGATTTTCTGCCAGAGCTTCATTAATTTCAGTTAATTCTCCTGATAGAGGAGAATAGAGTTCACTAGCAGCTTTCACACTTTCCAAAACACCAAATTCCTGGTTTGTTCAATTTTGTCCCAACTTCAGGCAGACTACAGTAAACAACATCTCCCAAAGCTTCCTGTGCAAAATTGCTGATTCCCACTGTTCCAACACCGTTTTCTACTGTTACCCATTCATGTTTGTCTGTAAATTTACGATCCGACAGCAGAGCGGGTCCGGTGCGCAGCGCCCGGACGGCGCCCGCCCGCAGTCCCCAGGGCCGCGGTGGGCAGGGCACGTTGGGCGCAGAGACGGCGCGCAGGCTGCAGACCGCGGCCCGCACGCTCCGTGCCACTCGCAGCACCATGTGCGCAGGGGACCACTTTCTTCTTTCTTTAATCTCACTTTTTCTAGCAATTTATTTTTATGGTACCAGACCATGATGATTTAGAATTTTAAAAAACGGTTCCAGGCTTCCCTGGTGGCACAGTGGTTGAGAGTCCGCCTGCCGATGCAGGGGACATGGGTTCGTGCCCCGGTCCGGGAAGATCCCACACGCCGCGGAGCGGCTGGGCCCGTGAGCCATGGCCGCTGAACCTGCGTGGCCGGAGCCTGTGCTCCGCAACGGGAGAGGCCACAAACTCTTCAACCAAATTCCCATGGCCACCACACCCCCTTCCCCAATCCTTCCTGACTCACCCTCACCCAGGCTCTCCTCTACCTTTCACCCTTCCTTTCCAGCAGGCATCTCCCTTTAAATGGGTGGTGGTAAACTTTCCGGTAGCCCCTCCAATGCATGCGCAGTGGGCACTGACTCCTGTGAGCCATCCTGAGCTCAGACCAAAAGGAAGAGTTAATCAGTCATCCATCCACACAGCCTAAATAACACAGGACTCCGGTCCCAGAAAGCCATCACGGTAAAAGAAGAAAAAAACCGTCCGTGGCCCTTACCCGCGTTAATTAACGCGAGGGAGAGCCTCAGCCTACCCAACAGATGCTCTCTATCCATCACCTAAACCTGAGACGCAAAGTAAAGGAACCTTCGCCTGTCTCCTCCAGGGAGGTCGACATACGTGGAGAGATGCCACGCCGGCTTGGGGAGAAAGGAGAGGTTACTGACAGAGTGAGTCACGTGTGCGGCATCAGGTATGATGAAGTGTATTATGGGAAGGGGACGTGGAGACGGCATTAGCTCTGTCCAGTGGGACCCACTGAACTGCCCATTACAAGGGAGCCCTGAACTAGTGGAGGAGGAGGACTTGGGGAGAAGGATTTAAACACATATACCTCCTTGAAAATGAACGAAGAGAAACCGTCTAGACGACAATGACGGGACAGTGACGTAAGGAACGAGACCATAGGAAAGGGCGGAGCCAGGCAGCACCAACCCTCCCCGGAGCGTTCCAGGCAGGCCACGTGTTTTAGACTTTCCAGGGACAAAAGGATGGTAATTTTAACAGACGCCAACATCGGCACCTTTCACAGTTACTAAGACGTGTCATCCACGAGTTCAGAAAGGCAGGGACTCGAGGGGGATGTAAATGAGCAAGTATTCCACTAAGTCTCTGCACTTGTCTGGGTATTTGAAATATTTAAACATTTTTCAGTATTTTTTTTCAAGTATCGCCAGAGAACAGACACATGACACTGTTTTGAAACGTCTTGCCACAAACTGGAAATTCTGATTAGATCCAGTCCAAACCAGGCATGCCTTGGGAAGACAACTGCTCTGCTGTTCCACGTCTGGCCTGGTGACAAGGGGCAGCCCCAGCCCTGACCTCTGCCCTGCACCCCACCTTTCCCTGGGGCAAACAGGGCATCGAGGTTAATCCAACATGCCCAGCTATCAATGGGCGGCAGCTGTCTAGACAGACTGCAGGCAACTCTTGGGCTTGGAGAAGGAGGGCCGAGATGGAGCTCCAATGTGCACCACAGGCAAAGGGCCGGGAAGGTGACAACCATCCTCAGCTGACTCTCTTCCCAAATCCTGTGGCCCCCATCAAGCTGGTTCAAGAGCCTGTCCCTGCCCCACTCCAGGCAGGCCATGCAGTGGACGCGGCTGCACGGCACACAGCCAAGGTCAGACACTGACATTTCCCAAGACGTGACTAACAGCCTGGGAACCACAGAAAGCAATCTGAGCACGGACAGTGAAGGCTGTTTCATCTTAATTGCATCCAAGACTTGCCATCTAAGCCCCCATTTGTGTTACACCTCTTCCAAGATTACTCATCTTTGATGCCAACAGGAGAACGCCATGAACTTGAAAACTCCATCATCTGGATTTGTTGATGACTGTGTTTCAACGCCTGCATGAGCAGGATGAAAAGAAAATGAAACCAAATTTTTCCTGCCTATAACACCTGTTTCTTTTTGACACTCATTGGCTCAGCTCATCCTGCTGCCGCATGCCAGGTTGTGTACTCGCCACTGGTGGTGTGAAAAGGAATAAGGCCAACCCTCGTGCTCAAGGAATGTACAGTCTAGACAGACCCACAGTGAGGAACACGCCTTCTGCTGCCCTCCTGCGCCTTAGCCTTCTCCTCTGGCAGTGTGTGTTCACGAGATCTGCTGGGGTGGCTATGGTTTTAACTGCCATTTTTATCAACACTGCATCCTTCTCTTCCGGTCAGGTCTCCAGAAATGAAACTCAGAGATGGTTCTTTGAGAAACTAAGGCATAAAAAACCAGGTACAGATCTACCAACCTATGTGAGAAACATTTTCTGACACCCATTTCCCAGCAACACCCTTTCTTACCACAGACTCTGTAGCAGAGTTAGAGTCATTTGTTTCCAGAAGCCAATCATTTCCCTGATCTAAACCGACTCAGGGTTACACATAAGCCCAAGCCTAACGCTGGGACAACTTCTTTCCCGTTGCATCAGAAGAAAGACAGTTTTACAAAATGGCCAGGGGAGAAGGGTGACTGCTTCTCCACCTTCAGGAAGACCCAACCACCTCCAAAGTCCTGGGCGTTGTCAAAGTGTGGAGGGTGTGCTTTATAATCTGAAGGCTAATTTAAAAGATGGTAAGACACGCAAACTCATCTGTGATACGGCTTTCAAGTTATAAATGTCAGTGACAGCCAGTCTGCTGCGTTGGGAACTCCTCCAACAGGTTGACAGCAGCCCAATTCCATGGTTCTGGAGGAGGCTGACAGACAGCTGCTCTTTCAGTAGTTATTTTGAAAGGAGCCAAGAGGCCCTTCCAAAGGCAGCTAGGTATTGGCGCGCTGAAGGGGGAAGGTGACACCATATCTGGTGGCAGGTAGACACAGCCCAGGAGTGCCACATGATGCCAACACGTCTGCGTGCTCCACAAAGACTGTCACCCCACACAGTGCAGGAAAGAAAGAAAAAGAAAATCACAGCAGAGGAGAGGCAGAAAGATGCACATCCTTCCCAGAGCATAAGCCATTGCACCTGGGTATCAGGGACCGCAGACCCAGCTCCTATTCTTCACGATGCCAGCCTGCTACAGCCCCAGCTGCCATGCCTCGCACCTCCTGGGAGGGCAGTGAACGGACTTCCTTATCTGTCGGCACTCCACTAGTTTCAGAACAGACCCTTGAAGATAGACGGTTTACTTGTCCGGTCCCTGAACTGAAAACCACTCCCTTTCAGTCACGTGTGTGGTGTGGAGGTAGGGGGATGTGTAAGAGGGATTAAATATGCTTGTTCTTAGACAAAACCCTATGTCTTTAGACACGCAAAATCTCTTTGAGGTTCTGACAGAGACACTTCTTGTTTCTCTGGTTTCTCCCAGCGGGACAAACTTTCAAGGTGACAGCTAGAGAGAAGCCTCTGATAAAAGTCACATGGTCACATAATTTGAGTTCTAACTAAGGCTTTTATTCACATCAGACATTCATCTGCTTGTCAGTTGCTGGAATGGATTTTCCTGTGATGTTGTTAGGGACAAAGTTTGTTCAAACATCCACACACATAAGAGAAACAAGAATTATGAATGTTTCACGTTTCGTTCTGCTGGTCCCATAACCTTGACACCCAAATCCTATTAGCCTGTAAAATCCAAAAATTCTGCTCCCAAGCTGAATGTCTGATTTACCAAGGTGACTCTCAAAGGTAGCTTAGACAGTGGTTTTAAGCACTCAGGACTATTCATACAGTTAGAACAAGGAAGCGCTCAGCAAAGTGCTCCCTCCGTAAAATACGTTCATAACTGGGGGCTTAGGAAAATGTACTCCGTGAACAATTCCTTGATACAGACACAGTTCAGAGATTGTGCAGTCATTCTGAGTCACACTCTCCACTTCATTGGCTTTGCTTATTTACGTTCACACCATGATCCTCTGTGTCTGAAAGGGCCAGCCCTTCCACCTAAGAGTATCAGGCCATAATCCAGCCCAATACACTTACGTTTGATAATGACTAAGTAATAAATGACCTTCTGCTCCAGTCACTTCACTAATTCGAGGCAGATAAAACATTCTTGCCCAGCTAACCCTAAAGATAAATTCCACCAGGTTTCAACCAAACAGCCAGGGACGTACGTCTCCTTGGGATTGAGTTGCGCTAGAAGGGCAACCCCCCGGCCCTTTGGGACTGTGGTGCATTTTGACGGTTCCAAATGCTAACGTGGGACTCAAATCCTCAGTCCTCTCCCCCTAAGGGCAAATATCCCAGGTCTGTGCTTAGCCAGGTAAATATGTGCTTACTGTGGTACTTACATGGCCTGATGGATCCGCCTCCAATGTCTACTACAGAGCAGTAATCACTCCTGCAATCACAAGAACAAAGACATTTTTAAGTTTCTCCTCTGTAAGAACTTGATCCATTGCAAACAGACAGGCTGACAAAGAGCTTCTGCGAACTAGGCCTCTCACATTTCGGAACCCGAATGCCTTTTAAGATAAATACCGAAACATAGCTAGGTGAGCATTCCCTATCACTTCAACACCCAGAGGCATTTGTCTAAAAAATTACATTATCTCACTTGTTAGGATCCAAATCCATCCATTATTAGTTCAGCAGGAGTAAGGCTACATTTGGCGAAGACGGAGCATCTCCACAAAACCATTCTTTGTTCCAAGTCTCAGGAGGCATTAAACCAAAGCTTTTACCAATCCTAATGCTTCCCGGACTAGACTACATTAATTTATGCCCACAGTCTCAAGTAGGTGTATACACGACTTAAAAAATACATAGCTCTACGACAAAAAACCAAGGAGTCTGCAATACGAGATAAAGCCAGTTGAATCACAAGCCTGTTCATTTAAATATAACAGATTACTTGTACCTGCTTCACCTTGAATAAAATCAGAAAAGTAGTAAAAAAGCCATTTTAGAAATATATCTACTATGTGTGCTTCTGATATCACTAATATTTTCCCTCTATAAAACTTTACTGGGCTTCCCTGGTGGCGCAGTGGTTGAGAATCTGCTTGCTAATGCAGGGGACACACGTTCGAGCCCTGGTCTGGGAGGATCCCACATGCCGCGGAGCAGCTAGGCCCGTGAGCCACAACTACTGAGCCTGCGCATCTGGAGCCTGTGCTCCGCTACAAGAGAGGCCGTGATAGTGAGAGGCCCACGCACCGCGATGAAGAGTGGCCCCCGCTTGCCACAACTAGAGAAAGCCCTCGCACAGAAATGAAGACCCAACACAGCAAAAATAAATTAATTAATAAACTCCTACCAACGACATCTTCTTTAAAAAAAAAAAAACTCCTTTACAGAAAAACAAAAGGGGGAAAACATGTCCTTTTAACAAATACATACAGTGTGTTTCTGATATTCATGGAATTTATCAGCAGAGAATTATAAAACTGAAAGAGAGTTCAATAGGGAGGGAGGGAAGGGGAGGGAGGGAGGGAAGGAGGGAGGGAAGGGGAGGGAGGGAGAGGAAAAGAATAAAGACGATGCTGAACAGACCCATCTTCAAACTAACTGCCCAGAAGTCTTCTAAGACTAGCCAACTGGTCTACTTTTTACTTAAGACCCTCATGGAAGAACATGTACCATACTCTGCTGGGAAATGTCTGAAAGAGTTTTGTTTTTTTAATACAAAGATGATTCTCTATATGGTCTGCAGCATATAACTACCCTTCACAGCACTAACATTTTTGTCTGTGTCAACAGTCTCTGAACAATAGCAGAGGGTTGGTGCACTGGGGCAACTTACAAGAGCAGATTCAACCTGCTGTTATTCCAAATCCACCATCTCCATGAAACAGTCTGGCCTCAAATGCTTGCTAAGGAAGGGTAGAAGGCTGGAAGGAACTGAATCAATGCTGGTGACCACGGGGCCCCTTTTGTACCAGCTTCATTCTGAGATAGCTTTGAGGTGAAGGAATGGGTTATCATGATACAGAAAAGCTACTAACTCCTGTAAGCAGCACCAAGATACATTTCAAGAAAACAATCCTAAGCATCTTGGTCAACATCAAAAACACATTCTCATGTAGCAGTGTCAGCTAACAAAATGAACACCCATGTGCCTCCGACTGCAATAATATCAACTTACTTTCAGTGCCTTAACTCTTTTCTGTATGTTTTCATAAACACCTAATTTGGTGTATTACCTGGCAATTTGCCTTTGAATGTTGCGATCAAGTGCACAGCCCGTGGTGACTTAATGAATCATACCAGTAGTGACACTGGTGTGATTCATAAGTCAAAGTGTTCATGATGTGCCAAAAGGAAGAGAAAAGTTCATTACCCTTTACCTCCCCCAACGCTTTCAAATCTGGATTTTCTTTAATAATACTCAGACTAATTAAGAACTCAATCTCGACTTCACTTTAAGAATCAGACAAGCTATTCCCTGAGTCATACGCAAACTACTGCATTATGCTTGGCTCTATACGTTAGCAAAATTCGTGGTCACCAAGAAACCCAAAGGCCATTCACTTTTATCCTCAGCAAAGCTTTAATGTTCAACTAATCTTAAATATCATTTCCTGCAGAGCCAGGTATATAAGATTAAAGTTTATAGCCATTTCTAGTTGCGTCTATAGATAAAGAAAATGTTGAAGGAAGTCCTTTCTCCTTCCTAATTTTCAAAACCAGCACCACTCCACAGCTTTCATCAAGATTTTACCCAAAGTATCTTTTCCAGGTATTAATAATAGGCTCCCTCAATCTCTTCTTGGGCTTATGCTTTGATTTTCCTCCCTTAATTATACCTAAACTTGTGAAAGCACTTGTAAATAGAGATCATGGGAATGCAATTCAATCTAGAAAGAATAAGGTAGCAATCACTGGAGATAGAGAGTAGCTAGGAAAAACTGGAATCCCATTTTCAACCAACCTATACCCCTTTCATTTTATATTTCAGATAAAATATATTATAAATGACCCACAAACAAAACAATCTACTTGATGAGCTCTGCCCTCTAACGCGGCATTCTATCAGAAGTCTGCATCTGCATATCTTGCCTATTGCCCCTTCCCCACTCAAAGCATCTCTAAAAGTGAGCCATGGTAAACCCAGCTTGTTCAAGGACCACCTCTGCAGCACCTACGCTGCATCTGATGACACAGGATAATGGAGGCCAATTCCAGACTGGTGGGTCTCACACCTCTTTGTCCCTAATGCCCTTCAGCACCGTCATCTGTTGGGTTGATCCCTTTTCAATTTTACACCCAAGTGTTCCATCCTCTTATTCCCTGTGGACAACGTCTCTCCAAATAGAGAATCTCAGAATCTTTATGTGACCGGGGATACAACTCAAAGCAGGCTTTCCCTCTCTTCTTTTCCACAGCCTAAGCAAAGGTGGCTCATTGTGAACACCAAAGCTGTCCCGACATTGATTCATGTGAGCAAATAGTTGAAGGGAGTTTATGGCTCTGCTTAAAATATCTTCATGTCTAGAAAAAAGACTTCCAACGATAAGGCCACTGAGCGCTTACACATTAGAATCAAATCATGACCATCGTTATAAGCGTTTTTAAAATTTTTCCTTTAATTCTTTTTATTTTTTTAATTGAAGTATAATTGATTTTACAATATCGTGTTAGTTTCAGTTGTACAGCATGATTCAATTTAATATATATTTCTATATGTTATATATATATTTTTTTCCTTCAGATTCTCTTCCCTTAAAGGTTATTACAAAATATTGAGTATAGTTCCCTATCATTGTAAGATTTAAGTCATTCAGTCTTCCGTAAGGAACATCAGATAGTCACAGAGGAAAAAAAGGCCCATAATTACAAGAGTGGCTTCATATATGGCTTCCACCTTAGGTTGGGCAGAGCAGCTAAATTTACCGCATAGCAAAATTTTGCCCAATTACAAAGATCTAGAGTGGCCCTTGACATCAGAACTTCTACAATTTTGACCTGATACGTTTGGTTTCATCACATTTCAAACTTGCTAGCATCTTTCCATTTCAGTGAGGTCTTTCATCAAGGCTCCACTGAGAGCTTCCCAAAATAGACTCCAATCTGAATTTGCCTCACATGGCTCACACCGCCTGGACTCAAATGCAGAGGCCCAACCTCACAAAGTCAGTGCCTCTCCAAGCCTCTGTCTCCTCGTGTCTGAAGGAGAGATAACCACAGCGCCTCAGTCAGAAAGGATGGGGGGATTCACAAACTACTACGCCCAAAAAGCACAGCTGCTGCATCAGAGAGGCAGCTAACCCTCCACAAATGTTAGCAATGATTATTACTGTGGTTGTTACTCCTGTAAGAGGATAATAAAAGGGCAGTTCTAGAACCCGTCAGAAGCCTGGAACCACAGCCTGGTGGTGCCCGATGCATTACATTTTGATTTTGCTGACAGCTATTTTGTCAGGCAGGCGTGACAATTAACAATGATTTAGTGCCTTGGGCCCTGGAATACCCTTGCCTAACATGACCGTTCTACAGATGGTCCCTAGGTAAAGTGCTCGATTTACAAATAAGAAAAAAAAATGCATTCCTTGCGACTTCCGAATTCATCACTAACTTGGATTACAGAGAGAATACTTGTAGCCGAACAAGTTTACCCAAGATTTTACCAAGACACGGGCCGGGAGACCACTTACCAAGGTTTGCAACTATTTTTAACATTCGTTGACGTCACAAAGAGCAGATTCCCTTTACAAAACTGACACATAACCCCAAACAAAGCTCAGTATTTTCATCAGAATTATTTTTAACAGCCACCAGGGAATTAATCTTAAAATTCTGGTTTTGGAACCATCCGAGTTACACCTGTTTCTCTCCCCTAGCCTAATGGCTCTCAACGTACAGCCCTGGAAGCAGCAACATCATCATCACCTGGGGAAGTGGGGAATGCAAAAATCTCAGACCCCACCACGCACCTACCAACCAGAAACTCGGGTTGGAGTCCCGCCATCTATCTGAACTAGCCCCCCAGGAGTCCGGGATGTAGTCTCAAGCCTGAGACCTGCTGCCAAGAGGCTATTCACATGTGGCCTGGGGCATCACTTCAGGCGGCTCTTTTCCTTAAAAACTATCTGGCATTTTTCTGTTCCTTAAAAACCTGCTATAGGATGATGTCAACTGCTCCTTTCTATTTTTAATTCCTCATGATGAGGCTGAGGATGATTCATTCAGCACCTTATGTGATCACTTAAATAAGTAAGGCTCCTTCTCTCCCACCCCTAATGGAAGGTGACTGATGCCTGTTAGTTCTGATGTAATTATAGGAACAATTCAGTAACAAAAGCCTGTCCTTTATCAACCTCGGCGAAAGCTGTAACAGAGAGTTATAATTATAATGCTCCATTCTTTTCCACAATGTGTGCATAATAATGTCTCCTTTGA